CAAGATAAAACAATACGAGGGATCAAGTTCCAGAGACTGGTGCCCAAAATTAGTTTTCGATATATAATATAAATTAGTCCCAAAAGTAGTTTTCGATATATAATATAATTAGTTATAAAGAGAACGTTTTCTGAAAATGAACAATGCACGATCTAGTCCGGACCTAACCAACCGTTATAATCTGTTTCAGGTTGAAAATTCTTAGGATTAGGTTAGACGGGGAAAACCACTCGCGGACTGTTGGGCTGGGAAACAAGATTTGGTTTTGGGACTTAGGCACGGTAGTTTCCGAGTGGGGGTTGTGACATCTTTAGTTAGTTGGTGGTGGCCACTGATCGGGGGTGTTACAACCGGGATGGAACATCACGGTAACCCAACATCGGCAAAAAAGAAACTTCCTTCCTCGGGACAAGAGACCAGATCTGGCGATAAAGAGAAAGGTCGTCGGGTGGTGTCAACGTCAAAGCTATTTTGTCGCTCACTAGAGCTGGAAACCCTCAAGTCGACAACACCAGAGCCACAAAAAACTGATCCACTACAAAATTAGTCGAACCCAAAGAGACACATATCTACATCCCTTCCATTATACTGAATCTTACCAAACAAAGCCCAATAACATTGAGGAAGAAGCCCTCAAGAAAGATGAAAGAAGAAAGTGAACAAAGCTAAACTAGATCGACAACCTTGAGAACGAGGTCACTAATGGTAGAAATCTCTCCTTAGAACCATAGATTCGGTTACTCGAAACCCAAAGCCCCCGCACAGATCTGAACATCTCCACTCGAAACCTCTTCCATCCTATTTGAACTCCTCACCAAAAACGTCAGAAGACAGCAACGAGATTTAAACTAAGGAAAATAAAAAAACGCAAGGAGGACCAGCGTCGGAGCTTACGAGCCATGGAACGCCGGTCCAAGCTTTAGATTGATGAAGAAGAGAGGTGGTGGCGGCCTCTTCGAGATAAAAAAATCTATTACAAAGATAACTTATACTATTTCCGGTTCCGATTTAGAATAAGTGTCGTTTTGAGATATTTCACTCAAATTAAAATAACATATTAAAAAAATTTATTATACCCCTAAAAACTTTCTTATAATCTCATATAAGTTAGATTTAACGATCAAAACGATACTTGTTATAATACGACCAGTATTCTAAAAGGCGTTTTAGCGTTCGCCTAGGCAGCGTTTATGCACTAGCCCCCTATAGACCGTGGAAATTATCATTTTTGCCTCCTAAAATATTATGGTATTATAATAATAACACAATATAAATTTTCGTATATATAAATTGAATATTCTATATATTTTACTATTATGATGAATATAAATACAATATAAATTTATTATTTATAAATTATAGGTTTTTATATATTTTTCTATATAAATTTAATATATTATTTAGTTTTGTAAAACGTTTAAACTATAGTTAATTTCCAAGGGAGTGACTAATAGTTAATCTCTTATATATTAATTAGAGCGTGATTTGTGAGAATATGCGTATGTGTCATATTGTGGCATGGCTTAAAAAAATTGTGACATGGCAACTTTGAATTAATGATAACTAAATTTATATTTGTTATAATAAATAAATCAAAAAAAAATTTAAACATTATATTATCATATTTTTTGTTTTTATTCTAAAATTATATACAAATTTGGTTTCTCATTTTTAAATAGTTTAGAAATTGATTTTGTAATAATAAACTTATGGAACATTTTTATAGAATATATATTTTTTTTGAAAATAATAATAAAGACTTTCCAAATTTTTAAAAGAGATTTTGATATGTTTGTGAAAAAACTTCCCAAGTTCATATAACAAATATAATTATTCTTTTAAAATGTTTTTTTCAACGCAAGATAATTTGAAAGTAATAAAAAATATTTTTAAATTCGAAAGCAACAATTTTTTTTTAATCTTTGTTTCTTTGATAAA